CAAAAACCAGGCCCTTTTCCGCCTTGAGTGCTTTTTTTTACTGGAAGCTTTCCTATTGAATGTGCTTGTGCTGGGGCACCATCTGTAGAGTCCTTGTTTGTATATATATATATACATTAATTAACATTATACATGTTTACATATATGTAACTATTATGTGTTTGTCTATTTCATATAGTTTTTAAGACTCTTATCTCCCGCTTGAAATTCTGCCAAGTATCGGCCCTGCAACAACAGCGTGGTGCAGAGATCTGTACCTCATTGGCCTCCCAAGTTCGCTGCGCTTCGCGTTTCCGTGCTGCGAACTGGGATTTTTTGGGGGGGGTGTCTGAAAATGGGAAAAATCCCCAAGTCACCATGGGTTTCAATACAGGATGGTGCCCCCCAGTGATGTGAACGTTGGTTTATAAACCCCATGAATATTATAGTAATATCCACCATAAACCATAGTTATGGGAGTTATTGGCACCAACTTAGCTAACGAACTGGGGCACCACCTTGTACTAACATGGTCTAATGACTTGGATGATTTCGGGGTATATACTCCCATTTTAGGAAACCTAAAAATATGCGAATTGCCTTTCCAATGCGAATTGCTGATGAACGGGTTTCTGCACTCTGTTTTATCTGTTTTTTTCCTTGTGGCACTGCAAACAATTACATGCCTGGCAATCGAAAATGGCCCAGCAATAGTCACCGATGACTTTCCCATCAATTGCCATCTTTTTTGCCATCAATTGGGCTAGTTCGTGGATAGATCTCCCAGAGTATCAACCTCCATTTACCCTCTGGTAATTTAACATAGCTATTGAAAATGGCCATTTATAGTGAGTTTTCCCATGAAAAATGGTGATTTTCCATAGCTATGTTAGTTTACCAGAGGGTATAGGGGGAAAAAAGGGGAGCTAGGGGATGTCCTCCATTTTTTGGGCGGATGTCCCAGCTTGCAGCTGTTGACTTCCTGCATTCGGATCCACCGAATCGGCATTAACCCGGTAGCTAGGGGAAAACCACCAAGTTTGATGAAACTGATCATAAACTTCTCCCAAAAATGACATCGCCATTTTATTGGGGATATATATGGACTAATTATATGGATATATCATGATTAATATCATATGGATACATCTATGGTAATATATCCCATGATTAGAGACCCAGATTTCATGGATGGCTTCGAATGTTGAAAGCCCGGGCAAAACCCGTCTCTTTTTCGCGATGACGGTCTGGTCTGGTTTAGTCCCTGGATCTCCCTCCCTGATGTCCGCCTGAAAAACTCAGGGAATTTTTAGCATGTCAAGACTTGTCAGTCTGGTTGGTGGGTGACCTACCCCTCTGAAAAATATGAGTGAAAGTCAGTTGGGATGATGACATTCTCAATATATGGAAAACTATAAAAATAGTTGGGATTTTGACATTCCCAATATGATGGGAAAGTCATTTTTCATTCCATGGTTCCAAACCACCACCAAGCCCACCAACCAGCAGTGGTTCATGATTTCCGAAATTGATCCACCAACCAGTGGTGTTCCACATCATTTTCGATGTTTACTGGAGGGGAAATCCCGGCTGATCCTGGAGGGTAACCGGCTGATCCCGGGGAAATCGCGTTGCACCTGTTGAAGTCTGGAAGCCTCAACACCTACAGTGTTTCGCGCCAGTTTTGCCACATTTCTGGATAGAAATCTCGGAGAATTCTTGTTGCCGATTGATGTCATGATTTGAGTGGGAGATGATTTACAAGTTGATTTCTGGTAAACCCCGGTTTAAGCCAAACTGGGGATTTCGTCGAACAAATGATCTAAAATCACCATAAATCACAGAAATAGGACATCGAAGCAACAAAAAAAGTCAGGTACAATCACAAAGGACCAACAATGGAGCTACTATATAAGTTGGGTATACCCCTAGCTTTCTGGGATGTAAAATGATCCCCAGTCATGGTTGGTGAATGGTAGATGCTTTATTATTGTGTTTACCCTCTGGTAAACGTTTACATAACGATGGGAAATCACCATTTTGAATGGGTAAATCAACTATTTCAATGGCCATTTTCAATAGCTATGTAACAAATTACCAGAGGGTGTATATATATATACCTTCATTTGTTGTTGTTTCAAATTCATGTTGGGATGCTTTATTGTGTTTACCAGACTAAACCTCTTTAGCAGTTTCAGAAGCCAAGAAACTCCAGAGGAGACCAGTGCAGATCTGGTAGAGCCGCATCATGCCCAGGGCTGCAGCAATGTTTTGCTGGCGAAGAGCTACCACATGAATATAGCTGGCAAAAAGCTCCCAAAAGTTTCCTAGACCTAGATTCCTTGAAGATCCTGCATGGATCTGAATTGTGCAGGGAACGAACAGTCAAAACACATCAAAACACGGTCACAAAGTCTTTACCAAATCCAGCGATAGAAATCACCGAGAGGGTTTCGCAGACGGACGGACGTTGCTTGAAACCGAAAATTTTCGGTCGGAGCAGTGCAAGCTTGCTGGTCTGGTGGGACAATGATCCCTAGGGCTGGAAAACAAGAGGCATTTGAAATCACCAACCAGCAATAAATGTGTAATACGGTGGATGGAAGAAATCCTGCACCAGTTAATAGGTGGTTTATCCCAATATTTATGGGGTTTATCCCAATATTTATGGGGTTACAACCATCCAAGGTGTTGCAGGATTTCTTCCATCCACAGTATCATGAAAGGTTCACATCAATGATGAAGTAAGAACAAACAAAAACAAGTATATGAACCAGCGTGTTATATGGAGGTTTCCTGAAATGGGGGTACCCCTAAATCATCCATTTATAGTAAGATTTTCCATTATAAACCAACCAGCTATTGGGGATCCCCCATGGCTATGGAAACCCCAATGTACTGGTATTTGAATTCATGGTGCCAAATATTCTACAGTAGTCACTTGGTTGGTGGCATTAGGACAGCAGCAACGACACTTTGTTTTTTCCCAATCTTGTGGAACACGAGTGCACTTGCCCAATGTCATGGGGATACCCCAAGCATTGCTTTTCCCAGGTACATTCACTGGTGGCTTCGGGTCCCTCTAACAGCGAATGAATGGAGTCCCTGTGAGCTGCAAGCCCAAAAACGGTAGTAGGGGGGCCACAGGGAAGTCCCACAGGAGACCAGAAATGTGGTCATCCCCTAAATCAGCTGGTTAATCATCACTTTCCCTATGACATTGCAATTTGTGGTTGGTAAAAAAGCCTTTTTATCTATTTTCAGACAAACCCGTTTCCCAGCTACAGATGTAACCACCCAGAACCCTTGCATCACAAGAAAAATATCACATTTAGATATAGGATAATATCTATTGAACGTGGACAAGATGATGATATTCCATAGCCATGTCAAGTGACCAGTGTCATGTAGAGTTTCATGAAATTTGGCTTCACTATCACCCAGCGTCGCTAACATTTGGCAAGAATCACTTCTCAGGGGACTATGGATGGCTGGATGGATGGATGGATGGACGGACGGATGGATGGATGGATAGATAGATGTAGGAATAGACAGGATAGGACATGACAGGACAGGATGGGATAGGATAGGGCAAGGCCCAATCCAATTCCAATATCAACGTCGCTGCTTTTTTTGATTCGCTCCAGCTGGGTCCCTTGGATCCCTTCATTATGTACATATTGGGGAGACGAGCAAAGTACCCCAAACTAGGAGAAATCAACTACTTAACTACTAAAACAGCATAAAGGAAATCAAATGTTTAAGTGCGAAATAGATTGCCTCAGTCTTGAGCCATCTCCGCTTTTGAACATAAGAGTGCCAGTTCGACACTTTTTTTCCGAGATGCGAAATAGATAGTTTTGTCAGAATTTCAAAGTTTTCAACATTTACCCTCCTTGGTTGTTTAACACAGATATGGAAAACCACCATGTTGTAAGTAGTTTGGTAAATCATCATATTTATCATCAAACTAAATGGGTGTCTTTATGTAATGTTCCATGGCAAACTGTTAAATAACCAGAGGGCATATTTTATTTCGGGTTTCCATGATGCAACGGTGGACAAGGGTTCAAGATATGGCCTCAATGGTACTATGGCTCTATATGTGCTGTGGTCAAAATAGCTAACTTTTCCTCTGCTCATGGGGACTTAATGGGAAAATCGTCTATAAATGGTGGATTAATGGTGATATGACTGGGCTATTAGTGGAATATTAATGGGAGATTGATGGAATATGACCTATACCCACCCTCGGATAATTTAACAGCTTGCTATGCAAAATCACTACTTTTCAATAGGTACATCATCGAACGAAATGACCCATGTTCCATAGCAAAGTGTTAAATCAATGATCCTCAATGGAGGGTATAGTTCATATTATATTCCATTGATATACCATAAATAATCCCTTCCCCCGTTCATATTAAACACCCCCATGGTTTCCAACCATGGTGGATGTAGGGAATTCCCACATTCCATTGGGGCCATGCAAAAAAGTTGTGTTTAATGTCAGGGTTTTATTGGATTATTCCATTTGTATCTCATCGTATCCCCAGATCCCAGAAAAAAATCATCCAGATCTATGGTAAATCTATCGTAAATCTATGGTAAATCTATGATGGTAAATGATGGTTAATGATGGTTAATCATAATAATACTGCTTGGTGGTTGATCTACCACTCTGAAAAATGATGGAGTGAAAGTCAGTTGGGATGATGACATTCCATTCCCAACTGAATGAAAAGTCATAAAATTATATAAATTCCATGGTTCCAAACCACCAACCAGTATAGTTTCGCAGAGGTCTCATCTCTCCAATTATGGACCCTAGCAGCCCTGATCTGCGACTTGTGCGCGAGTGTCAAGTTGCGTGTCTCCAGATGCTTGGCAGAAACAAAAGCTTGGGATATTCACAAAATGTATCCACCATCTTTACCCTCTGGTAAACTCACAGTTTGCGAACTGGAAAATCACCATCTTCAATAAATAAAATCATGGTAAATCAACTAGTTTCAGCCATGGCTTCAAGTTCACAAACTGTTAGCCAAATTCTCAGAGGCGACAAGACTTCGACCCATCCCTCCAAGCCCAGTGAAACACCGGGGATTCACATGGGATTCACATGGCGATGTTTTCACATCCCCGGCTGATCCTGGTGGAATGTATTGGTCCACATCTGCAAGACATGTACTGTACAGCTGGCGAAATGGCCCCTTCTGCGCGGCAAAATGGCCCCCTCGCTAGACAAACAGCTCCTGCACATGGCTGGCAATGCAAAACAACCATCAGCTCCGGCAGTTCAGAAAAACATATTTATATAGCATGAACATGAACACCAGATGGTAAACCTCTCTACAACCCATTGAAATTTAAGTGCTGGTGGTTTCAGCACATAAAAGTGGCTGGCAAGAATCGGGATCTGATTTGGATACGAAGTATAACAAAGATGGAAATATTCACGGATACCCTCTGGTGAACTAACATAGCAATGGAAAATGGCTATTTATAGTGGATTTTCCCATTAAGAATGGTGATTTTCCATTGCTATGTTCGTTCACCAGAGGGTAATGATTTGGGATGATGATTTGGTGGTGGTGTTTCAACCCATCTACTATAGAACGAGTTCACCAATCGCTGATCATCCACTCTCTTCGTGTTTTTCATGTTTTTATTCGTGATTTTCCAAGCCTGGTTTTTATCCACCGTTTATTTTTTTCGGACACCCAAAAACCAGAGTCCATCGTCCATCGTTAAACCTATCCATCCAACATGAGGGATGGGAATTAAAATCCTCCCGTCCAGACTCAGCGGTTGAATTAATCCTGGGTGAGGAATGGGAATTCCCATGGACTATCATGGATTACCATCTGGTTATGACTAACATAGCCATGGAAAATCACCATTTTTAAGTTCGGTGTTCGGTAAACCCAGGTAAACCATCTATTTCTATGGGCCATCCATACCATGGCTATGTTAGTCATAACCAGGCCGGGTATATCCCATGGTTTTTTGTTCGTCCCCGAACGGCCCCTTTAACTACATCAACTAACAGGGCTAACCTGAACACTGCTGGGTTGGTGAAATCATTTACCCTCTGGTAAACGTACAAAAAGCTATGGAAAATCACCATTTTTAACGGAAAAATCCACTATTTCTATGGCCATTTTCAATAGCTTTTTGTATGTTTACCAGAGGGTATGTGAAGTCCCCATTTCTGATGCAAAAAAATCAATTCTCTGTCACAAACATCCGAAGTCTCCCAGGAAAAAAAAAACATTTATGTGACCAGTATACATCAAGCATACTATAATACACCCAAGAATAAATGGGAATATTTCACCAGTATATCAGTATATCCATGCATATCCCAATATCATATAGTCCCATGAAATACTTACTGGTGCTAACGCAGGGAATTTTCGGGAATGATCCATAATCACTAGTAATAATCATCCCAGCAACCCCCAGCAACCCATCCATTCCCTACGTTTAGCACCAGTAAGAATATTCCCATTCAAATTGGCAGCAGGCACTGCTCAAGCCCCCCCAGTCCTCATGTTCTGTACCTCGCAAGCTTGGATCCACACGTTATTTCAGGGAACTTTCTACGGAAGTCAACGGCGAAATCCTATTTCAAAGGAAGAGTTAAATGGTTCAAATCATGGAATATTCATGGGATATAATGAGATTTGTCGTGGTTTTAATGGGATTTATCGTGTTTTAATGGGTTTTATCGTGTTTTGAATGGGATACTCCTGGGTTTTATGGGATTTGACCATCAAATAGGTTCAATCCAAAAAACAAGTCAAAACATGATGACTTAGGATCCAGTAAATTTTGAGCTATTCCGACAAGTCTCGGGTCATTGGTAATTAGTATACAAATGTGTACCCACTATACTAGATCCCCATGTTTATTGTGTAAAGGACTAATTATCGGTGATTGACCAAGAAATATCACAAATCACCATAAATCACCATAAAATCATTGTAAATCAGCATCAATCACGAAAAAATTGACCATCATTCGCTAGGAAAATCACCCATAATTTACCCTCTGGTAAACTAACAGTTCGCTATTGAAAATGGTGATTTATAGTGGATTTACCCATTAATAGCATGGTGATTTTCCATAGTTATGTGAAAGTTTACCAGAGAGTTCCATAGTTATGTTAGTTTTCCATAGTTTAAATCAGCATAAATCACTTTTTTTTACCATCATTCGCTATAAATCACCCATAATTTACCCATTTCTTGGTTGCATCCCCCGTTCTTTCACCGCGTTTTGAAGTCACGTGCCGAGCGTTTTTCGAGCTACGGTCATCACGAAGCCCTTGACCACAGAGGGCAGCTTTCGCATCCAGCGGAGGATAGCTCTGGTGGTCGATGCATTTCCTTTTCGAAGCGGAAGTTTTTGGGTCAAGCCAGTGGGTGCCCAATCACTAGATGGTTAATGTGGTTGATATACCCTTAATAATGGTTAATGATGATGGTTAATATAATGTTAATTAACATAGACCCTGAAAATCACCATTTTTTAATGGAAACTAGTCTCCAACCCCTATCTGCCAGGGATGGTTACCATCATATGAGCTCGTCAGCTGGGATTATGACATTCCCAATGTATGGATTTGTTTAAAAAAAATGTTCCAAACCACCAACCAGATTAGATGGTTATATCATGTTGAACATATTTGGGTTAGATCATGTTATATCATATTACACCCATTAGCTGGAAAAAACCTCATTACCCTCCAGTAAATTAACATAGACCCTGAAAATCACCATTTTTTAATGGAAACTAGTCTCCAACCCCTATCTGCCAGGGATGGTTACCATCATATGAGCTCGTCAGCTGGGATTATGACATTCCCAATGTATGTTTTTTTTTTTTTAATGTTCCAAACCACCAACCAGATTAGATGGTTATATCATGTTGAACATATTGGGTTAGATCATGTTATATCATATTACACCCATTAGCTGAAAAAAACCTCATTACCCTCCAGTAAATTAACATAGACCCTGAAAATCACCATTTTTTAATGGAAACTAGTCTCCAACCCCTATCTGCCAGGGATGGTTACCATCATATGAGCTCGTCAGCTGGGATTATGACATTCCCAATGTATGTTTTTTTTTTAAATGTTCCAAACCACCAACCAGATTAGATGGTTATATCATGTTGAACATATTGGGTTAGATCATGTTATATCATATTACACCCATTAGCTGAAAAAAACCTCATTACCCTCCAGTAAATTAACATAGACCCTGAAAATCACCATTTTTTAATGGAAACTAGTCTCCAACCCCTATCTGCCAGGGATGGTTACCATCATATGAGCTCGTCAGCTGGGATTATGACATTCCCAATGTATGTTTTTTTTTTAAATGTTCCAAACCACCAACCAGATTAGATGGTTATATCATGTTGAACATATTGGGTTATATCATAATATTCATAATATGATCGAGATTGATATTGAGGTGAATATTTTTAGATATACCCATTCTATTTTAGTTATATCATTATTGAAAATATGGTTAATACATGGTTATATCAAGATATATCACTAATATATCTATATCATGGGGTCACATATCATGATATGATATTATTAATATATTATACTAATATAATCTAATATATCACTTTATGTCAAGTCAATCATATACTAAAATCTGGGGGGTAAATTTTGACTCATACCCACTGATCTAAATCCGAGTCTTCTAAGTGATCTATGATATGTTAGCTTCTCTCGTAGTTAAATTTATAGGTATTTTACTTAATTGGGGGCTTGGGTGATTGATTTAGCTGGGAAAAAAAGATAAAAAAAGCCTGTCGGCAATGGGTCAAAGCCCGATCAGTAGCCTTCTGTTCACATCAAAATAGCTGGGACATTTTCTGGATGTTCATCCCACCAAATAATTATGGTACCATAGCTTTTGAGCCATCCCCCAATGTGTGGTAGGCTCAAAACATGACATGGGAATCACAGGGTTCCCATCCTATAGAGGCTATAGAAATCCCTCTATTAATGGATTGATAACCATCGCCCAATATGGGCGCAGGAGGGATTTTAGCGAATCTGGCGGTGATTTCTTGATAGTTTCTATTTGATGGATTTAGCCTAAAAAACGCGTATGTACACAGCCCCATTGCAACACCAATAGATCCAATAGGTAGCCTCAGGTAAACTAACATAGAGATGGAACATGCACCATCTGTAGATCAGTTCGTGGGAAAGCACGAACTGTTTTTTTCCGCAGCTATGTCAGTCTACCTCAGGCTACACTCACTTTTGCCTACGGGTGTCTCAAGTCCTGGTACTTAGAAAATGTTAGAAACTACTCAAAAATTCTGCCGATTACATTGCATATAGGATTTTCCGTTATGAACCAACCAGCTATTGAAAAAAAAAACATTTAAAAACCATTGACTCCCATCAAAAATCATATGATATCGCCATTAAAACCCATTAAACGCCATTTAAAACCCATTAGATCACCATTTGTTGATGGTGAAACCCCCCATGTCTGAATGTTCTTTCCGTTGACGGATTTGGATCAACACCTATTGAATGTCCAGCAAGAAAAACGACCATCACTACGATGGTCTTGGGCCCCCGTTAAGGAAATCGCTAAGTTGGTGAACTCAAGAAACAAATCAAGAAACAAACATCACAACGGGGGGCCCCACATTGTACTGTAGGGGTTTTGGGTCAGTGCTCACTAGAAACTGATACAATAACGTGACATCATCTCCTCAACTCAAAAGACTCTGAGAACGGCCCATTTCTGGGGGAAAGTAGTCTTCCAACCCCCGAACTCATGGCTGGCCCCGTTTTTTTTTTTCACAAAACCCAGGGGGATGTTCTTGATCATCAATTCTCGAACCACCCAAGCCCCAAAACTAATGAAAAATGTCTGAAAAACATTCGTAACATCCTGATAGAAACCTCCAACAAGGCTCCACACCCCCAAAGATACACGAGAACCCTTCGCCACGCGGCAAAGAAAACACCCTATCTGTTTCATCAACCACCCATCACCAATGAAACGTCTCAAATAAAAGTTCATAAAACTCAAAAAGAAGTCATTTACAAGTGAAACACCCATAACAACCCCATAATTAATTATCCATGTTACAACTCAGTACCTAAAATCTGAATGGCCAAATCCCCCATTTATAGATGTTTTTCTTGCTGTTTCTGTTCCTAAAGGAACTAGGGTCCCCAAAACCCCCAACTGGTGAAAAATCTCCATCATTTTACCACCCTTAAATGGTACCCAAATAGTCGCTGGAAAAAAGTTGGATGTTGATTCCCCCCCATATGGCGATGCTTTGTCGTTTTCCAACGTTTGGGGAAACCATCCCATGACGGATCCATGGTGCTGGTATATAAAAACCTACAAAACTGGGTCATAAAAATGGGGTAAATGTTGGTAAATATACCAGCACCATGGATCCTATGGGTATGTTCTTATTCTTTGCATTCCTGCCGTGTGCTCCAATGTATCTATTGCTGGTGTTCCATTAAAAAACATGTTTCTGCTTGTGATGAGATAGCTACCCGACGCAACTTGGAGCAGCAAATCACAGTGTCCGGCCGAAGCGCTGTTGGCGATATTTTTTGGTTATCGTTTCGTGAAAGGTTCGGGTTATCATTACACCTGGCGGGATCTAGAAAACAATGATGCTGGGAAACTGTTCTTCTGGAACATTTTGTTATATATATATATATGTATGCTTATATATGTAGAGTGTTTTTTGATATACTGTCTTGGGCAAGGGCTGCCGGGCGAAACGGCAACAAGTGAGCCAAGATTATGGCAGCTTAAGCCTCAACGTATCACTCTCCAAACCACAGAATAGGAAGCACAGATCAAGAGATGGAGAGAGGAGTGTCGTTCTATCATTCGTATGATCATTGCTTAGATGCGGGACCTTGGGACCTTCCCTGTCGCCAAGATGGTGCTTTGGCAATTGCAAGCGTTAAAGCCAAAGATTGAGATTTGGGTTCTTGCTTATCTCTCAAACCGATGGTGCTTACACAAAGCATCGAATCACCTGCCTGATATGGAAATACGTTTTTGAACATGAGCAAATGTTATTGTTTGTTGGTGAGTGTTTTATCATTTTCCAAGCCTCAAATCCATTTCCAAAAAATAGAGACCGCGAATCCGCTCGATTACTACTCTCCATTAACCTAAATTGTGACTGTAGCTCATATCCCATAGGATCCATGGCGCTGGAATATTTACCAACATTTACCCCATCAATGACCCAGTTTTGTAGGTAAATATACCAGCACCATGGATCCTATGGGTATTATATTCCATTGATATACCATAAATGGCCATTGAAATAGTGAGTTTTCCCATTAATAGCATGGTGATTTTCCATAGTTTTTTGTATGTTTACCAGAGGCTAAGTTCATAGGAAACAAACGACCCATCCGGACCCATCGGTTCTCGCTTCAGGTCGCTGCTGGTCCACCATAGTGAGCCCGGGGGAGGCATCGACCACCCAGCCTAAGCCCAACGCACCTGGCCCGGTATGGCCCGTCCCGGTGGTGGAAAAGCCATGAAAACCTGGGGCAAAATGGGATCTAATGGGATTTTATGGTGGTTTAATGGGATCTAATGGGATTTTATGGTGGTTTAATGGGATCTAATGGAATTTAATAGGATTTACCCGCTGGTAAACATACAAAAAACTATGGAAAATCACCATGCTATTAATGGGAAAATCCACTATAAATGTGGTATTTTCAATAGCTATGTTAAATTACCAGAGGGTAGCCGGGAAAATCTTCACCGGAAACCATGTTTTTTTTTAACCATCAATTTGTTGGGGGGTTCCGGCTAAATTTTTCCCATCCAATTCCGTGAGAAATAAAGATGGAAATTAAAAAAACTCGGTGATCTGGGACATAAAAGAAATCGATGGGAAATATTGTGTTGTTTTTTTTCTGTATGGAAACATGGGAAATATCCATCGATTTTGAGGAATTTGATGGTCCCCCAATCCCTGAAAACCATGCCTTCCAGTGTCCCACAGAGGTCGCTGGAAAAAAACATCAATGGATACTAAACGGATACCCTCTGGATTTTTTTTACATAGCGAAGCCATGCCCCATGAAAATCGTTGATTTATGTTGATATTTACCTATTCCAAATGGTGATTTTCCACTTCGCTATGTTAGTTTACCAGAGGGTAATATAGCAAACCTTTGATATAGCTGGGATAATCATGTTCAACCCCAAGTCAGATTTTGACCTGAATAATGCCATAATGCATTTTAGGTATTCACCCAGAATTTCACCAATTCTTGTACAGATGTGTGTGTATATATATATATATATGTACAGTTTACAAAACTAAAGTCAATGGGAATTTCAGGATCCTAAAATGGAGGTACTGCACCATATAAGGCCATATTTTGCTGGGATATTCCCTTACATAGGCCTTATATATGGTAGGTACCTCCAATTTAGGTTCCTGACATGGCTATTGATTTAAAGTGACCTGGAATTTGGAAGACGTCTACGAAGTGACTGGTTCTCGCTGCCAATGCCTGTGATCTTCATCAAATTGCTCATTGCAGGGTCAGTTGATTGACCCGGGACTGGTTTCCTCGATATCAGATATCCCATGAATCTCTGTTACTTTTTGGGAAAATATCCATGAATATGGTTGTTTTTATCCCTGGGAAAGCTAGAACACCATGATACCATGTGCGCCACGACCCGTCCCGGCACAGACCTTGCAAAATGTATAGTGCCCAAAGTTGTCAAATGATGTCCGCATTGGAACGCCAGTTTTGAAGACCCGAAGATTCAAGATGCCACCGATGCAAGAAGTGCCACTTACCCATCTTACAAGGTTCATCAGGATTAAAAGCCTATGCCCATTGTATCCGCATTGTTGCTGGAAAATCTCCCATCATTCCCAAGTTTCCGTTGTTGATGCTTATTATTGTTCAATTCTCCCCAGTTCTTATCTGTGTATTTAGATCTCAGAGGCCGGCAAAGTAAAAAACATGTTATTCCATCATATCCACATTGTATCAATCCCCATTATTCTTGCTTACATCCCATATTATTCTCAGGTTTCCATAAATCTAACACAAGCCATTTAACAGGCCCCTATCCCATCTCATGAAATACTAATTGGTTGAAAATGGATTCCCTACTATGGTTTATCACAGTCCCCCATGAATTAGCTGGCATACGTCCCTAGTTCTGAACCAATCAATCATCATTGATCATATATAATCATATGTTTGATGGTTCAAACATGTTCAAACCCCTATAATCCGTATAAATGATGATTTAATCAATCCCCCTGAATTTTTTCATAAGCAGAAACCTGCCGTCCAAACAACAAACTTCCGCCAGCTCGACGCAGCCGTTCCATCATCAACTGAAACCTCGGCTCGAGGCGAGCAGGGCTCGCCGATCTGCTCGCCATAAAATGAGGGGATTCGAATGAGGATGTAATTGAAAGGGTTTTTTATCATGGGATATAGTGGGATTTCATGGGTTAAATATGGGTTTAATGGAATTCAATGGTATGTGTGTGTGTATGTATATTATATATATACACTGGGGAATACTGTATGTACATTCAGAAATATATAGCGGGATGTATAATCAACCATGTTTGGGTGTGGTACCTGAAAATGGGGTACCCCTGAATTTGGTTTAGAGAATCATGTTCTCAACATTAGAATGACCATAAATGCAGGTGTATACCCCATCCATGACAAATCGAAATGATGTTCATTCCCGAACAAAAAAAAAAACATGTGTCCCATTATTGTACGCAACATTAAGGTAAGAGAAAAAGGAAATGGATCTACATATTGATCTGTCTGAAAATAGGGTATACCCCCAATTATAGGCATTTCATGGTGATTTTTGTGGATTCACTGAGGGGTGAATCCTAACCCAAACGATTTTTTACCAGATTTCCAGGCGTTCAAGGAGACTTCATCGGTGGTCCACCCCCTTGAAATTCAATACTGGTTGGTGGTTTTAACCATCTTGAAAAATATGGAAGTCAGTTGGGATGATGACATTCCCAATATATGGAAAAAAATTGGAAATATAAAAAATGTTTGAAACCACCAACCAGGAAATGTTTGAAAGTCATGGGGGATCATCACTGGCACTACAAAAATTGAGGGAAAAAACTGTGTGGTAAGATGGTTACAAGCTGCCCGATTTCAGGAAGAAAATATACTGTGCTTCGCGCCCGCGCGCGCAAGATCGAAACCAGTTCAACAGCTACAAACATAACCCTTATGGCATCACCGGTGTGCGAAGCTCTACAAAAATGCCTAGCTGCTCCTCCTGGTCAATCTTGGGTTTTCGATGGTAGAAATTCACCGCAGCAAAGCGGATGCCCGACGCCGCGGCGTTCCTCGGCGTACAAAGAAAGGGACCCGCAACAGCCACTGCCAAAGATGCAAGTTCAATGGATATGGGGTTGGTTAATGTTCAGATTTTTCACATCAACAAAACATAAGGGATATATGTCATCTCCAACAAATACGGCCCTATCAAGTGATGTGACCAAAATCCAACGTGACATCAATCCCAACCACTGTATTGTATGGTTTCGATTTCCACATAGATAAAAACCAGTCGGAAACCATGGTGAATGACTCTTGTGCCTGTCTTTGTTGGATATCTTCCCGTTCTTCCTGTGTCTGTCCCAAGCAGACATGCAGCTTGACTGGGATTAACAGCGTTTCAGCTACCGCAAGGATTGCAATGGTTTGAATACGCAACCAAAAGAGATTGGGTGAAACAGTTGTAAAGTATAAGTTGTAAAAGTTCTAGTAATGTTATTTTTTGTCAGTGTCTTTTTAATTGCCTCGTTCGAAATTTTAAAGCTCGGTGCTGAAACTTTGCTTTGCCAGCTCGGAAGCAAAGAAAAAAACATGTTCCAACCCCACACAGGTTTGTCCGTTAGTGAATTGGTTTAAGGGAAAAGTTCAGCCGGAAAGCCGCATATTTCATGGAAAAAAACATGGTTTCTGGTTAAGATTTTCCCTTAAACCAACCTTCTGAGGAAGTATTCGTGGTATGATTTTGGGGGGTCACGTCTTCAAGTATCTGGATCCATAGGGAATGATATAGGAAGAACGATATAATCAGTTTGCCATCTTCAGTTTGAGGACAATTAGACTTGGCTAAAATGGAGGTCACACATTATGGAATCCCACCATGAGTTTTTCTGACATTGCCCTGTTATGAGAACATACAATTTCAAGACAAAATCAGTAGAAATTCTATAGTATCATAGGAACATACTTGGTTTATCATTAGATTTTGCTTTTCCCATCGCTTTCAGACAAACTCGACCCTCTCAATATGGGATACTCCAAAATCCAATAATGTCCTATGGTTTATCGTCAGTTCCCCAATGAATATCCAATTCATCTAGCCATGCTGGGGTACATTTGCCCAATTTTGTGACAGACATGAGCAGTGTTCGAAACCTTCTGTCAAGCCTTTATATTGGTGGGTAACTTAAACATTCCCGAAACGGATAGTGATAATCCCCAATATATCAAGGCTAGTGTAATCCCTGAACTAATCATCAACCAACCATCAAAAAAATCACATTTCTGTCCACTATCATATGTCCATATTTCAATGGTTAAAAGCCTATTGAAATCCCACCTAAATTTCACGTTCTTCTCCATCGATGGGCGACAAAAAGGGATCAAAACTCCTGGCGAGCCATGGCTGAAGCCATGGTCAATACTCACAAAAAATTGTTTTTCTGGTCATCCCATCAATAATCATTGGATCCAAAAATAATGGTTATTATAAATCCCATCCTGAACCATTGAAAATGGCCATAGAAATAGTTGATTTTCCCATTAAAGATGGTGATCCGATTATAATGGTTATTATTTTTATCCCATCCTGAACCATTGGATGACTAGCCCCGTTTTTAATGGTTATTAACATTTATTAACCATGAGTATTGACCATAGCTCACATGATACTGGTAGCCACCAGATGCCACTCTTGCAACGGGTGCGGGATCCACCCCATCGTGTAAGCGTCGCCCAGATCAGTTGGCGATACAACTGGACTATTACCCTCTGGTTATTTAACATAGCCATGGGAAATGGCCCATTTATAGATGGTTTACCTATTAAAAATGGGTGGATCTTTCCATGGCTATGTTAAATAACCAGATGGTAAATCCAAAAAACATGAACCAACTGGAGTAAATCAAGCAGCCGCTTGCAGGTCGAGTCTCTTGCACTGAAATTCCAGGGTCCAGTTGTAGGTCCCATTCGCTGCGACGCCCACGTCCACCACGGTGTTCTCGATATCCTCCGAAGACGACACTTGACCTTTGAGGGAACGCTCAACTATTCCTTCCAACAGATTCAATCCAGTTCCAAGGTTTGAAGAAACATAATATGTATATAATATAATGTCACCTGGTATTAATGTATTACATGATTACACTACATTGCATTACATTACATTACATTTACATTACATTTACATTACATACAGTTGCATACATGTATGTATATATATATATATATTAGATATATAATATGTATATATATATATGTTGTTGTCATACCATTATCTATATATATATACCTCTTTGGGGCCCTAACTTCTCCAATGAGGTAGCGCCATGGCCCAGTCTTCATAGTGGGTGGAGAGTGATCCCATCGAGCATAGAAATCTTTTAGCTGTACACTTGCCATGGTTAATATGAATATGTGGTTAATATACTGTTAATAATGGCGAATGATGATGGTTACTATATGGTTAATGATGGTTCATAATAATCTGGTTGGTGGTTGACCTACCCCTCTGAAAAATTATGGACTTCCACTCGTCAGTTAGGATGATGACATTCCCAACTGAATGGGAAAATAAAATTCATGTTCCAAACCACCAACCAGAAAACCCAGGACTCGACCCGGTGTTGTTAGCTTTGGCCCGTTTTAGAAAGTGTGCGGAACGTTCCTAATTAGAAACCTGAACCTGTCAGGTCTTTGCAAGCGCACTGTGGGAATGTTCAAAAAAAAACTTGCAGACAGAACATGATAACACAGAAATGTAACTAGAAGACACAAAAAACAACTGACTATCAAGATGCGGGTTGGTTCACGACGTTACAAAACACTGCAAATACCAAACCATTTTTAAGAACGGCAAAAAATATATTTCTATGGGTCATCGAAAAAACATGGCTATGTTAGTCATAACTAGAGGCTATATATATATATTCCATATATCCATATTAATCATATATCCCATATATCCCATATATTCCATATATCCCATATATCCCATATATTCCTATAAATTTATATATTTATTCGAAATTCCCAAACGCAGACCGCGTTTGACCGCAGACCCCCCCGCCGTCAGGTTGGGATTGAAAATGGAATGACCCGACCTGGGTATGGCCAAGATCTTTGCAGCCAAAAAAAGGGCTGCTCTCTTTGGCGGGGTTATTCACATTGCATAAATCCTACAGGATGGGGCCCCCAAGATAGCGTTCAGTTGCCTTATAAGTTTCTGAATTCTATGGTTTATGGTAGATATAACGAACTAGTTAATGGGGCTTATCATGGTTTATAAACAAACAAACATCACTGGGGGGACCCATCCTATAGCTATTCTGGTGTGTGAAAACCCCGAGGGGGGGCCAAATGGCCAAATGTGAGTTTGACCCGCAGCCGTTTCTGGGCTGCACCTCTTGGTCATCATCTAGAAATCCATGCCCATCAAGGCAATACACAAAGCCCAGCAACGTGAACAGCCCTTTGGGTGGGATCTATAAGCCCTTTCTGAGGCGAGGGGCTCACTTGGGGTATAAATGGGATCACTTTGGGCATAGGTCCTGTATGTTCCTGTCATGTTTCTTTAGGGTTTCCTTTAGGTTTACTTTGGGTTTACTTTACGGTTTTTCAGACTTTCTTTAGGGTTCCTTTGGGGTATCTTTAGGGTTTCTTCAGGGTTTCTTTAGAGTTTCTGTGGGGTTTCTTCAGGGCTTCTTTCGGGTGTTTCTTTTAGACTTTCTTTTAGGCTTCCTTTAATCTTACCCTCTGGTAAATTAACATAACTATGGAAATTCACAATTTTTAATGGGAAAATCCACTATAAATGGCAATTTTCAATAGCTATGTTAGTTTACCAGAGGGTAGGTTTTCTTTTATCCCCATGGACAAACATGAGCGGTGCAAGATGACTTCCAGCCGCGGCGGCCGAGAAATTGGCCGCCAAAAGGGGTCCAGCCGTTTTTTGGACCACGTCTGGCTAAAATTGCTAAACTGGTTGGTGGTTGAGCCTACCCCCTGGTTGATGGTTAATATGTGCTTAATATACTGTTAATAATGGTTAATATGATGATTATTATATGGTTAATGATGGTTAATAATAATCTGGTTGGTGGTTGAGCCACCCCTCTGAAAAATGATGGACTTCGTCACTTGGGATGATGACATTCCCAACTGAATGGAAAAAATAAAATGTTCCAAACCACCAACCAGTAAAAAAAACTGTCGGATCAAGTCAAAGTCTTTCGGCCATACCATGCTTCGCAATGACTGAGATTGGTGTCGTAAAAAAGCTGGACAATGCCAGCTTCGCCGTCAGGACAAACCCACCAAAATCGCCAATGTTCAAGGCACGGGAGAGATCTTGCTCCATGTCCAATTGAGCCATTAAAAATACCCCGTTTTCCCATCTCATTATACTAGTTGGTTGATAGGTTTCCCTGCTATGGGTTATCATAATCCCCAGTAAACCAGGTAGTATAATCCCCTATAGCAATCAATTAACCAGGGTATTTTTAATGGCTCAATTTGGCTGTGTTTGAAAAATGTGGCCCATCTGCGGAAGGGAAAATTATGAGCCATGTGATTTCATGGCTGACTGTCATGCTCAGACAAACCCATCTACCCGGCCTGGTAAACATACAAAAAGCTATTGAAAATGGCCCAGTCGAAATAGGTGATTTACCCAGCTAGAAAATGGTGATGTTCCATAGTTATGTTAGTTTACCAGAGGGTACTTCTATTCATCTGTCAAGCTGTTGCAACTCATCCTTGGTGCAACTCATCCTTCATCGGTTACTATGTGGTTAATGATCAACGGTTACTACGTGGTGAATGATCCATATATGGATGTGGGTCAAAAGCCTGATGCCATGGTTAACACCAAAATAGCTGGTAAATAAATGTAAATAGATTGTCATCGCCACATTCATATGGACTCATCTCCATATAACCGGTGATATTCCATGCAGGATGGTCGTCAATCCCATTCCCCTTTGATATGAAACACACCCTTCTACGGTTCCAAATATCCACCATGTTTTCGTTTCGGGGTGTTTAGATCTGAACGGGTGAATATCCCCATTCATATCCCATAAAAAAAACGATGTTAAACACTTTCTTAAACCCTGCAAAACCCACCACTATTTAATCCCATTCTTTAGACACTTCAGAAATCCCATGATATCCATTGATATCCCACTTAAATATCTGATGTTATCAGGGTTAGACTTCATTTTTTTCCTCACAAATATTGATATCCCACAAATATCCATTGATATCCCACAAAATCCCATGTTTTTCCTCACAAAAAAAGCCCTTCCTTTTGCGCCCCAAAAAAACATCGCCCGAGGCGCCAATGGCCCATGAAGACACCAGGTGAGTGCGTGAGGTTGAACTCCAAGTCACACACCGCGTTGACGCCTCGTGGGATCCACCGTGGAAGCCATGGAGAAACCCAGCCGTTGAATGATGATACCCTCTGGTGAACTAACATAGCAATGGAAAATCACCATTTTTCATGGGAAAATCCACTATAAATGGCCATTTTCAATAGCTATGTTAGTTTACCAGAGGGTACCCGGCCTGGTTATGTCAACAGTTTGCTATTGAAAATGGCCATAGAAATAGTGGATTTTCCCAGAAAATGGTGATGTTCCATAGTTATGTGAAAGTTTACCAGAGGGTATCAATGATTGATTTCCAAGTCTATGTAAAGTGTTCTAGATTCTAGTGCAGTACGTTCTTGGTGCATAAAAAAACGAGTACCATGTGGTTGCAAAATTAACGGAAACATGTGGAGTGATAGTGGTGAATAATTGGGTTGCTACTGTAGAGGAGAGTTCAGTTCGCAGGGGATGTATATACCCCATACCCTAGGGATTTAATAGTTAGACTGTTGCTCCCCCGTCTTTCTCATCTAACCGCCCACATTATTATACAAGCAAATTCTATGGGGTTAATACCAAAGACAGGGGAGCAACACCTTATAGAAAACAATAACATAAATCATAACAACAAAACAACAAACAAAAAAACTCAAACAACCTAAACAATACAATAGATTATAAAAAAAAAACTATACCATAAATCATAACAAAAAACAATTTCGCTTTTATAATATTGAAATTATAAAATGAAATTTATGTTTGCTGTTTCTTTAAGTTCTCCAGATGCTTTGTTGTTTGTGTGTGTCTCTTGTAATTCTTACATTGAATTTCATAATCATCACATACAGGGCAGGTCATCCGTTTTATTTTAGCATTCACTTGTTCAATGTTTTCTGCTCTATGATTTCTTCTGCTTTCATTTATTTCTTCCCTGTGTGTCCTACCATAATTTCTAGCATATTCCTTTGCCTCCTCTATATGATTGTAATAATAGTCTCTCCTCCTTTCATTATATTTTTCTTTGTTCTTTTGATGATTAGCTGATTAGCCCTCATATATTCCCTACATTTATCACAAGTTTTGTATTTACCCTCTTCCATTTCCTTAAAACATTTAGCACACGTGACTTTAGTATCCTCCATTACCTACTATAGATAGGTAATAACTCTTTAAGTGTCTTTCCTATCCCTTTTCCCTAGATTATAACATAATCAACAACACAATCATAACAACACACAACAAAAGAAAAAAAACATAGACAAAACAAAAGACAATAAAAAAGACAATACCATACATCATAACAACAATAACAAAATCAAAACAACCTACTACAAACAAAAACAAAGCAACAAAACAATAATAACAAAATCCTAACAACCTACTATTAATAAAACCAATAACATAAACCATAACAAGCTCATCATATCAACCCGTCTCATCCGTAAAAATTATATAATAATCATCATAATTGTATTGAATAATTTTCATCAAAGCATATACAAATATACATCATCTTACCTTATCTATTTCATAGGTGTTATTTCTAGAAAACTTATTTGCTTGAAATAGTCCTATATAGAAAATAATTGCAACATAAATTTAATAGAATTAGTTTATCAAAATTATAGGGATAATCAACATAATGTTCATAATCATTTATTATGAAGATTATGGGATTAATTACCACAGTCTCCCCCTATAGGGGAAGCCTCAGCCCCCAGCCAATATACTATCCCACCCCCCAGCATACATACCAGCATACATACAAACTAGCATATCACAACAGCATCACATCTTTCTCAACCCCAAATCTCTCTTAATCCGCAATTGCCATGCCCAAACCACCCTTCAGGAACTTGTTGATGACCATGTCTTCTTAACCTCAGCGAGATGTAAAATGGCACAGCAATCCAAATTTTTGGGGCGAAATGGAGTGAACATGATTTGTGTGGTGTGCGTCTAGACTTGTTGGTGCCAGTCTTCCCAAGTATCCGGGAGTTCTTGCCTTTTTATCAGGCATGAATGCACTGAATGTCAAGCTTGTGAAGGCTCACTCGCATGAATGCTCTATTGATATTGAAACAATGCCTACCTATATACTGTACATGCAGACCTTTTCAATCGCAAAGGACCTGCTCAGAGCACTGTTTTGCAAGTCGCCATGTTGGTTCATAGGTAGCCGTCGTCATCCTGTCAGACTGGGCTCGGTCTGATTTGCGCCATGAACATGCTCGTGCTAGCCCTAAGCTTTTAAAAGCGTGCCCCAGTGAGGAAAAGATGCTGAGAAATGACACAAAATTCCAAGCTCAAAGTGCAAGAGCTCATTTCTGTAGTTTTCCAATTTAGAATGTCAAAGATGCTCAAATTGAAACAAATTCCAAGTAGCTCTCCAAGAACATGTGGCAAATTCACAGCTTCAAACCTCCAACAAACATATTCCCGCTGAGCGCCCCGACAGGATGAAGAAGAGATTGATGAGGAAGCCATGACGGGGCAGAAGGACAAAGGAACATAGAGTAATCCCAGCCTATGACCCAAAAGTGCCAAACACAAATTCGTGGGGAAAACAAATGAAGGGCAAAACACAAAACCCCGAAACCAAAAGAGCACATAAAATAAACCATCTCATGGTTGCATCATGGCTTTCTAAAAACACTAAATCTTGAAAAGTGCGTGCCTCATCAACAATCTTGGGTAATCAGTTAATTTGTAATATTTTTGGTTCAACTTTTCTGCAATCTCTTGCACAACATAATAACCTTTCAGCCAGTGGGAAGTTCTTTCTTTCTCTGCAATTGCTTTCTTTCTCATTATCTTTACTTTGTCTCCCACCTCTAATGTTGGATACATCCTTTCCTTCTTTGCTTTTACTGAAACATTAAGTTTTGCTTTAAACTCATTCCTTTCTTTCCTTGCTTCATTTGGAGTTGGTCCAGTAGCACTATGGACGTCCTTGTTGTTGTATGTTAGTAAAATCTCGGTTATGTAATCTATCCATTGAATGTTATTTTTTCCTTTCTTCTCATCATTCTCAACCCTTTTAAAGAGTTTATCTTTAAATGTCCTAATAAATCTTTCAGCGAAGGCTGGATGACCTCTAGTTCTATAAAGTTCAATCCCTTCATCTTCAACTAGTTGCTTGAAGTCAGCACCACTTATACTACCTTCATCATCAGTGTATATGATTTTTGGTTTTGCCTTCATCTTCTCCAGCCCTTCCATTGTTCCAGCGATGACACCGGCTGGGCTTTTGCTTTTAATAGGGACTACTACAGCATATTTACTTATACATCAATCATTACCAACCCAGCTCTAAACTTTTGTGTTGCTTCTATATCATTTTTTGAAATGAAAAACAAATCAAGTTGAAAAGTGTGGTTGTTGTGGGGGGCTACAAAACTGTTCTGACCCCTTTGCTTTCTCTTAATCTCAACATTCATTCTAAAAAAATCTTCAACATCTTTCATAGCAATAGTTTTATCTTTTTCTCTGGCATCTTTTAAAGTTGTAGCCTTGCTCCCATAACCACTTCTATCAAAATAAATATCACTAATAATCGTCTGCTTGTTACTCATATATTTATAATGATATTTTATTTGAAAAAGCACAATTACATTGAACACACAAGCCTATGCAATTATCCTTGAAGTGCGCAATATCACTATTAACCCTTTGGCAACTAATGTTTGATGAAACCTTGCCATCTTCAAAATCTATCACTAATGGTTCATTACAATTTTCACACTGGGTATTCATCAGGTTCATCAAAAAATCTACATCAACATAACCCCCATCTTCTACATCTCTACCTGCTTTCTTATCTTGCTCTTCATAGTTCATAATGTTATTCTTAAAATATGTCTCTACTTTCAATTTACTCATATCCTTCTCATCAGCATGATACTTATAAAACTTAACTCTATTTAAATCTCTTGCTCTGGTAATTGCTGTCCAATACCAGTTCTTACTGCAATACCATTTGCTCCAATCATATATCACAATGTCATCATCCACACTACAGCCTTGCTTACTATGACAGGTGTAGCAGTAAGCATATATGAAATGCTTTCTCAATAATTTCATTTCTATATTTTGTTTCTCATTAGTAGCCACATTTTGTAAAACCACATCATTACCAACAATATTTACAATTTTAAATTTAAAATTTACATTAAATTTCGTACCTTTGGTCTTAATATATTTTCTACAGATTACCTCCTCACCTATCACATATTCATCTTCTATGCCTTTCATTTTTCTAATTTTATTGCTCACTTCCCTTTATTTGTATAAGCAATGTTGTTTTCACATATCTCATTGCCTTCACTCCATCCAAAGTGTTTTTCAATGACATTAAGTATAGGCTCATTGTTCATAATCATAGCCTTAATATCATAAAGTTTCTTTCTGTCTTCTTCAGTCTTCAACCTCTTACATTCATAAAGCATAATATTGTTTTCAAAAATCAAATCAATACAATGGTCAGCATATTTCTCAAATGACATTACATTGCTTACCCTCTCTGGGTTTTTCAACTGGTTAGTGTCTCCAGTTGCCACTACAATTTTGTCAGGGTTGTTCTTACAGAAGTCCCATATCAAAGCCCACTTACCCACATTGTGAAAAATGATTTCATCAAAAACTATGACATCAACACCAGAATAATCAAACTTCTCAAGCCTCTCATCACCATAAGATATACCAAAAAACTTGTTTATTGTCATTGCTTCTGCTCCACACTCTTGTTTCAAATTATTAGTGGGGACTACGAACAAGACTTTATAGTTTCTATTCTGTAAGTGCTGACATATATAACTCTTACCTGTTCCAGGCACATCACCTCTAATCATCAACCGTTTATTATTCAAAATATGTTCATCTATGATTTCATCAGTGTTCCATTCATCCTTCACCATACCGGTTTTATTTTGATATTCAGTTATATCACATAAAACACTGGGTTGCTTACAAAATGCCTTGGTAGGAAAATTGAATTTATCAGACCACCTCCAGTTTTAATATGGTTCCCATCTGGCAATTCGATATAGCTGTGCAAATTTAAAACTTTGTTCAAGATGTAAATGATGAAACTTTATTCAGGCCATCCATACTAGAACTATGTAACAAATTACTGGATGGTGGTGATAATTCCACTCCCCTTGGGTAGTTATATCATATCGCATTACATCGCCATTGACATCCCATTGTATATACCATCTGGTTATTTAACATAGCCATGGAAAATCACAATTTTTAATAGGTAAACCCAGGTAAAACCATCTATTTCTATGGGCCATCTATTAACCATGGCTATGTTAGTCATAACCAGAGGCTAATCACCATTTTTTGTGGTTACCCTCTGGTAAACTAACATAATTTTCAATAGCTATCTATCTATACCAGGCCGGGTACCTGGAAGATCCCCCAATGGGCCGCTAGTCACCCTATTGTTGGTCCCTATGGAAGAGTCTTCGGGATTACTCTCCAGGAAATTTTCACAGTTCGACCCTGAAATTTTCATCGGCCTTGGAAGATGAGTGAAACCACTAAAAATGGGTGATTTTCAGGGTCTATGTCAATTTACCAGAGGGTATAGCATACTATAATCCCACTTACAGTACTAATCATTTAGGATTCGTGGAGTCATCATCCAAGTACTTGGCTCAGCTACAGCGTGATGTCTCGAGCTGTGAAAAAAAAAACGTTCTTTTCTGGGACTTCATGAATCGGAATGCGCACCAATATCATGTTTTTGGGTTTTCGTACTATTTATATAAACAATGTAAACCACTAGAAAGTCCATATCAAATATCTCAACTTCATAGTGTTTATCGACTTTTCCATGGTTTTCATCAACGTTTCCACGGTGTTTACCCATTCTTGGATGGTTGTCATCGATTTTCCACGGTTGATATTGCTTGTTCCATGGTGTTTTATTGATTTTTTGGTGTGTTTTATCGATTTTTCATGGTTTGCATCGATGTTTCCATTGTTTTTTCATCGATTTTTCATATCCCAGTTCTACATGATATCCCCCATGTGGCGGGGGGGGCGTCCGCCTTTTCCTGGGCCGACATTCAGGGAGAACAAGTCCTGGGACGGGCCATGGTGGACACAGCTTGGTATCGAAGCCATGGCCCATGGCTAGTTCGATGATCAACATGGAAAATCACCATCTTTAAGAGGTAAACCATCTATAAATGGGCCATTTTCCGTGGCTATGTTAAATAACCAGATGGTAACCACAAAAAATGATGATTATATATATATATATGTATATATATATATAATGGGATATATATATATATATATATATATATGGCGATGCAATGGGATATGATATACATGATTGTAAAAGAATGGTGATTTTCCAGTTCGCAAAAATTAGTCATTACCAGAGGGTGGCCTTTTTCCCACTGCTATGGCTTGTTTTTCATAGATCCAACGGGTAGATGGCCCCGTGATTTTGCATGACAATACTGCTACAGGAAGGGCCGAAACTAAAGAACTAGGAATGAAATGGCGGATATATCTATAGTTAGATTGGGTTATAAGCTAACAAACATGATTGCGGGGCCCTTCCTGGAATAAAATAGCTATTTCTGCTCAGGAAATATGAATAAAAACATTAAAAACTGTTGTTTTGATGAGGAATCTAATGATAAATGATGATATATATATATATACTTTACCCATGATAGATTTGATTGGATTTAATTGGACACAATGGGACACAATCATTCACAAAAAATGTATAAAAATGGGATAGCAGATCACCAACAAAGTGGGGTCCTTAAAAGGAGGGGGAATGATCAGCAATCAGTCTTTGGGGGTTGAAGTTGGGGCTATTTTTATGGCTGTAGCCTCTGGTAAATTGTTGCAGTTTGCTATTGAAGCCATGGCCCATGAAAAAAACGTGAATTTACCTCTTAAAGATGGTGATTTTCCAGTTCGCTATGTAAACGTTTACCAGAGGGTACCAATTTCACCAATAAGTTGGGATAGAACCCCTGGAACATGGCAACACATATCCATCCATTCCGTACTAACTGTACCCCCAAGGATATCCCAATGATAAAATCATTCACTTTCTGAAACAACGTAGAAACACATAACACATGTCCAATGAGAAAACTCTATACATGGATAATTTTGTTGGGGGGACTTTCCTTCTGAAGGGAAGGGTTGGTTAGTCACTGTAGTAGGCTATATCTCCATTCTTGTGACTTGATCCTCTAATTATGACAGTTTGTCAAACAATTGCTAGTCATATGTTGATATTACATCAAATTACCGTGCTTCACAAATTTGAAAAAAATGCAAAATTACGATAGTCAATAGTCGATAACCACAATTACCATAGTTGTTTAACCATACTTGCCAAATTACCATATTCGCCTTTCGTTGGCATCTATATCCCCTATGAACGGACCATGAGGACACCATAAAACAAACCCAGATCCATTGTCTCCTCGCACCATCCACACGCACACCTACACATAATATGTATATATATATATATGTATATTATATATACATAGAAATAAGAAAAAAAACTGTAGGCAACAAAAAATGAGGAGCAAATTTCTTAGAAACCCAGGCTTCTTGAAACCGCTTTAATAAGTGCAGTGACCCCATCGTCGTGACACATCCTGCTGGGTTTCGCCTCAGAGTGATGGCTGGCCCTGCCAGCATTCAAAGTTCGAGTCTCAATGTATACATTGTTTTACATAATACGGATGTCTACACGAAAAGGTAAAAATAAGTAAATATAAATAGAGATGAATATATAAATATATATTATATATAAATGATGCCCACCCACTTTGTTGTGTTCACCGATCTAACTACAGTGGTTGAATCCTCCAGTCCGGTCTCCAGTGGTCTCTTCGGGCGTCAATGGGAAATTCAGGATCCTAAAATGGAGGTACCGATTCCATATATAAGGCCTATTTTTTAGGCCTATGTACACCCTGGTAAATTAACAGTTTGACCCTGAAAATCACCAATTTTTAATGGAAACTAGTCTTCCAACCCCTATCTGCCAGGGTCTATGTTAATTTACTAGAGGGTAAGTGAATATCACCACTCACCACAATTCATATGGCCAGAAATATGGTACGTAAACACGTACCTCCATCTGTTCGGATCCTGAAATTCCCATTGAAAATCTTGAACATATATTTGAGTATCTGTATATTAATATGTATATCATCTGTATATCTATATATCTGTATCTGTATAATCCTCCATCCTCCAGTCCCGTCGGTGATCTCCAGTGGTCTCCTTGTAATTCTTGGGATCTCCTGGATGTTGCGACTTCACCGAGCGTTGGCAAGAGGCTTTGATGGGCCAGCGACGCGGCTGGGTGCTATCGTGATAGGCAATCTCGTAGTACCTCACGATCGGTGAGTTGACATCATGGTTGGGTAAACTGGGGGTTGTTCCATGGATTTATATATATATATATGCATATGTATATGTATATGTATGTGTATGTGTGTGTATAAGTATTATATATGTATTATATATGTATGTGTATATGTATGTGTATATGTATATGTATATGTATATGTATGTGAATATGTATATGTATATGTGTATGTATATATGTATATGTATTTGAATATCTGTATGTATATGTGTATGTATGTATGTATGTATGTATGTATGTATGTATGTATGTATGTATGTATGTATGTATGTATGTATGTATGTATGTATGTATGTATGTATGTATGTATGTATGTATGTATGTATGTATGTATGTATGTATGTATGTATGTATGTATGTATGTATGTATGTATGTATGTATGTATGTATGTATGTATGTGTATGTATGTGTATATGTGTATATATGTGTATGTATGTGTGTATGTACACTTGAGCGTATGTGCGTTTGTGCGTATGTGTGTGTATGTATGTATGTATGTATGTAGGTAGGTAGGTAGGTAGGTGCTTGGTTGCTTGTTTGTTTGTTATGTATGCTGTGTATATTGTATATATGTATATGTTTATATGTATACATGTCTATGTATTTATGTAAATATGTCATTATATAATTATATGTATATATATGTATGTAAATAAAAATATATGTATATATATACATATATGTATATGTATATGTATATGTATATACATGTAAATATATATATATATGTATATAAGTATATATGTATATACTTAAATATGTATATATATATGTATATGTATAAATGTGTATATGTATATATGTATATGTATGTATATATATGTATATGTATATGTATATATGTACATTTGTGTATATGTATATATGTATGTGTATATATATATACGTATATATGTATGTACGTATGTACGTATGTACGTATCTACGTATGTACGTATGTACGTATGTACGTATGTACGTATGTACGTATGTACGTACGTACGTACGTACGTACGTACGTATGTATGTATGTATGATGTATATATGTATACATGTATGTATATGTATATGTGTATACATGTATGTATATGTATATGTGTATGTATTTGTGTATGTACTTATGTATGTATACATATATGTATGTGTATATATATATGTATATGTAAATATGTATATATATATATGTATACATACATACATACATACATACATACATGGCATGGCATGGCATGGCATGGCATGGCATGGCATGGCATGACATTACATTACATTACATTACATTACATTACATTACATACATACACACATACATACATTATATAGATACATACACATATAATTATATGTATATACATACATATATATATATATATGCGTGTATATATGTATATATACATGCGTATATATATACATATATGTGACTATGCATACGTATGTATATATATATATATGTATATATTTAATTGTAAATGTAATTGTAAATATAGTTGTACGTATATACATATATATATATGTATATCTATACATACAGTTGCGTTGGTTTATAAACCAACTTATAAATTGCAACTGCAAGTGGTGTTTCTCGTAACCATAAAACATGATGGTTCAAGCATCACTCATGGGGATTTACAGCGACCTTACGATTGGTGCCTCTTCGTAAATCTCAATTTCATTTTTGTTTGCGTACATGTAAATATTTGAGAATATGACAGCGGTGAAAAAAAACACTTTATTGGTACCCTCTGGTGAACTAACATAGCAATTGAAAATGGCCATTTATAGTGGATTTTCCCATGAAAAATGGTGATTTTCCATTGCTATGTTAGTTCACCAGAGGGTATCTCATTTTCTTACTTGGGAGTTGAAAATATCACAGGGGCGCTGAAACTGCTGTCGACTGCAGAGGTGGCATAGTTCAGGATATGAAGCACGGGTGCAACGGTGCGCGGTACAAAGTGATTGGTTTATTTCATGTAAAACCCTATCTATAAATGGATGATGACTGGGGGTACCCCCATTTCAGGAAAGCTCCATATGCATGTATGTCTACAGGATGGTGCCCCCCAGTTATAAGTTGGTTTATAAACCCCATTAACTATAGTTATATCTACCATAAACCATAGTTATGGGAGTTATAAATCAACTTAGCTAACTATGGGGCACCACCTTGTAGATTTATCTACACATGAGCTCCGGTCAAATCCTTTCCATCTGAGTAGTTGCTGTTGGTCATCCCACGCAGCCATCCAAGATTTCTCCAAGTTTTCTGAAGGGATATGGCTAGTGATCATTAAGATATAACTGGTTGGTGGTATACCTACCCCTCTGAAAAATATGAGTTATTGTCACTTGGGATGATGAAACTCCCAAGTGAATGGAAAAACAAAAAATGTTTCAAACCACCAACCAGATAATTTCACAATTAAAAACCAGGGATATATATATGGGATGATTAGCTGTTCAACCATGTTCAACCCCTTATCGGATTGAAATCTAAATCGTTTCTATTCATTTATAAAAGGTATGAAGCAAAGATATGTCGCAGGTTTTGCTGAACATTGAACAAGCTATGGGTATTGGTCAAAAGTGGACCAGTTATGGATGTTAATCCCCTAAATATATCAAATATGGTAATTCAATGTAATTCATAGGGTGTTGATCAATCCCTATAATTATAGATTATATAGGATACGGATAATGGCACTTACAGCAGGAGATTCACCAACCAGGGTGACCCGTGAGAAGACAAGACGCACGCCCCAAAATCGCTGGATGTCGAAGTGGTTCTTTACCTCAAAGGGTCCGAGAAGCAAACGTTGTTCAATGGGAATTTCAGGATCCTATATAAAATGGAGGTACTGTACCATATAAGGCCATATTTTGTTGGGATATTCATTTACATAGGCCTTATATAGGCCTTATATATATATGGTAGGTACCTCCGTTTTAGGATACTGGAATTCCCATTGAGTGGTGGGAACCGCTCTTTTTGGCAAGCCATGTTTGAGTACCAAACGGTAAATTGGATAAATTGATGATTTCACCACGAATCCAAAATTCATATTATATATAAGTAAATATATACATGCAAAGTTCGATAGATTGTTTGGTGAATATTTCAAAAGATTGCTAGATTGACCTTTTCTGAATCTTCTTTTTTTGGTGGCATTATATTCATATAATCATTAATATGCATTTGCAACTATATAATATATATATTCTGATGTCCAAGCAATAGTCTATCAATATCCATACAATGTAGAACAGGTAAATACCCTCTGATGATCAAACGTGGCAATGGAAAATCCCTCATAAAAGGTGCTAATGGGAAAATCCTCTATTAATGGTGGATTTCCAATGGCTATGTTTGATTACCGGAGGGTATCCGTAAATCATCTTCGAATGGATATCTTCCGTTGCCAGACTAGATTGCCCGAGGCTAGTTCTGCTTGGTATGGCATTCGTCTGGTTACAGTACTACTGGAGAGAGCCTTTTAGAAGCGTTTTTTGGCAGATTTGAATTCCAACCTCGCCTTTTTTTTTTTGGTTTTCCAGCGGGCTCGCAATGGGAATTGGGAACAAATTCTTCTAATTCTCCCATTCTCCCAACCTATTGGTATACAAATTCTTCCCAACCTCAACTTTAGGCAGGTGTTTTTCGTGAAGTCGTTCCAGCCCAGGACTTGGTGGAACAAAACACCAGAAATTCCAAGTGTATGGAAGCATCACGATGTTTATTGAATATATTGATGGGTTGGATTGTCAAAAAACTGGGGATGAGATTGTCAAACCACCCAATCCCAACATCATGACGTTTATTGACCACAGCCCCATAAACATGGACGCGACCTGAAAAAACTTGAATGTTGAATCTCACGTTTGTCTGCCACGATGCGAAATCTGACTGCACCTGCAACAGCACGACAAGGCTGGCTCAAATGGATGTGCCATTTTGAGCCCCCCTCATGATACTGTGGATGGAAGGGAAATCCTGCACCTGGGATGGTTGAAAGCCTATCTGGCTGGTGGTGCAATAGCCATCTTGAAAAATGATGGAGTTCGTCAATGGGAAGGATGACATCCCCAGCATATTATGGAAAATAAAAGCCATGTTCCAAACCACCAACTATAGTGGGATAAACCACCTATGAACCGGTGCAGGATTCCACCGTATTAGGGGATGCCTTCCTATCTTGCGCAAAATGGCGACATATCGGAGAAAAATGGGCCTAGCCCAAGTCATGTTTTCGCAGAGGGAAATATCATGAATCTGATGGTTTTTTTTTTGGCGCCCTATTTCCATTCACTCCTCTATCATGGCAAACACTTTTCGGAATCATCGTCCCAAATGACATTGAAAGATATATGGGTTTGGTACCCTCCGTAATCAAACATGGTGTGCTGGGAATTCCCCGGTTTCAAGGTGATTTTCCCAGTAAAACATCCATTTGGTTCGAGGATTTTCAATTGCCACGTTTGATTGCTGGAGGATAGGTACATTGTTTTTCGGTTGATGTTGATCGTCTCCCCAACTGTTTGCTTCCAGGATTTTGTTTCACGCTATTTGTATACACCAGCAATTTATTTTTGGAAAATCCACTTCACAGGCAATGTCCATCCACCATTATCAGTGATACCATCCCATGATTCTCTCATGTCCCCATTTGTTAGAGATTTCAACCCCTTGAAAGATAGGAAAGTCATTGTATATAGATAATCATTGATCCAAAATATGTGGAAGATACGCATGGCTGACACTTTGCGAACTGGAAGCCATGGCCCACGTACTTCGATAATAGAAAATGCCTCCAAAAAAATTGTGATTTTCCAGTTCGCTACGAACTGGTCATGACCAGAGGGTAACAGATATACTTGTGGGTTATATATGGAATATCACCACAAATATAATTACATATATATATATGGGATTATAGGTTGTATATATATAATTATATATATATATACATGGATTATAAACCACTTACAGTACATTTCGTGGATCTAAGTGGGATGCACATCCAAGTAGTTGAAACCTCATCCATTCACGTTTTGGGACCCAAACGTCTTTCACGTTTTGTTTTGGGGGATGATTTCCACCGGTCTCACCTGTGGTCAGCATGGTGGAATGTCCATATCTATCGACTAGTCTATGGGACACACCCAGGCTTTCCTTCATTGATTCATACATTGTTTGTTCTTTCTTTCTTTTTTTCTTTCTTTCTTTTTTCTTTCTTGCTTTCTTGCTTTCTTTCTTTCATTTCTGTCTTTCTTTCTTTTGTTCTTTCTTTCTTTCTTCGTTATTTGTTCCTTCCTTCGTTCCTTCATTGATTCATCCGTTCATTCATTCATTCATTCGTTCGTTCGTTCCTTCCTTCCTTCATTCCTTCCTTCCTTCCTTCATTCATTCATTCAGCCATTTGTGCGCTGATTCTTTAATGTCATTGATTTCATGTTATTTCATTGGCATCTCAACAACCATTTATTCCTTCGTTGATGCACCTCACAAGTTCAATCTTTCATTGCTTCTGCATCCGACAGACATTCCTGTAAGCAAAAATATATCTTGTAGGCATTGTTCTTTGTCAAAATCTCCGCCTGGGCACGGCCGGGCACTATCTGGTATCATTGGTATCATATCATTACAACAAATGATATCGTTTATATCATCAATATCATCAATATCATTGCTGTCGTTAATTAATATAGTTAAAACAAGTAATACTTAACATAATATACTATCATTTTATGATATATTATATCATATATATATATGTGTTATTTATTCTATCTTATCAATATATATATATTATAACAAATAACATCATATAATTTATAAACTTATCTATATATATATATAATACCCTCTGGGAAACTAACATAACTATGGAAAATATTCATTTTTTATGGGTAAATCAACTACTTCTATGGCCATGGCTTCAATAGCAAACTGTTAGTTTACCACATGGTATATCCCATTATCATCCCATTATCATCCCATTATTAACGCATTGTGAAACCATTAAATCTCCATAAATATAGGTTTATGGCATTGTTTTACCCACATTATAATCACATTTTGGATATTAGACATATGATTTTGGATATAATATATATATATACATATAAACCTATGTAATATAATATACATATATATATATATATATATCCAAATTGATGTTCGATGATAAGCCAGTCATTTTCCACACCTCCACCGCTTCTGGACAGCGCGCTGGGCAGGGGGCGCTTGGGCAATCCGCCGACGACAAAACGAGCAGCGAGCACAAAGCGAGCACGCTGAAGATGCGCCTGGCACGGCCAAGGGCACGGAAAAGTTGTGGCATTGGAGAAAAGTTGTGGCAAAAATGCAAAAAATATGTGGGTTTCGGAGAATTCGATGACAATTTTACACAACACATATTTGATAACGGTCAAAAACAATGGAAAATGCGTGCATTTGCCAAAAATGTAGATGACTGATCCAATGTTTGGTTATCCATTGATAACCCCCCATGAATCTAACCAGATATTCAGTGGGCGTTTCATCGGCGCGCAATCACCGAAAAAAACGAGAATTTTTCGCCACAGACATTGGTTTCATCTTTTACAGATAGGCTTTGCATGGGTCATTAAATGTCCCCATTGAACATCACCCAACCATTAGGTATATGGTCTATAATGGCTATTATAAGGTGATGTCCAATATACCCAAAATGGGACAGTTACCAACCCCGGGCTTTGATCAACAAAAATCGGGCTCCGCAAAACCTTGTCTTGGGGCCAATGGATGATTGGGATTAAAGCTACAAACAAATGTGGATTATTCCATTAAAAACTGTGACTTTGGCCCGGCAAAGAATGGCTTTTAAACCCACAAACATGGGGAGATGTTCATACACACAGGTGGATTGAACAAAAAAAAGCAGGAATTGACTACGAAGAATGAGGATGAAAGCAACAAGACAGTACGCGACATAGGAATATTGGGAACCGTTCTAGTCATTGACCATGTTTGTTGGCTTAACCGTCTATTGTTAGTGAAGCATGGTTCTGAACTTTCAAAAAGAAATAATCAAACAAGTGAAATCCCATTCTGATCGCATTCATATCCATTTTCATCCATAAATTGCTAATCATATCCCCATTTTAAAAAAAAAAACATAAAATATCCTCCAACATACCAATGGTGGTTCACTGGATGGCAGGGACATTCCCATTTTCAAACAAACAAACCCACGAAAAATATAGTTGGTTATACATACATACATATATATATATCCCATTACATGCGCATAACATATCTCTGTAGAACTGTTTAGATATTAACAACCCATTAAGTAAGTGAATATCTAATCCATTCATCTACATTAACCCATATTAACAAAGTGAAATTAACATTATCAACAATTAACCCATATATCTAATCCATATTAACCCATATATCCAACCCACACTAACCTTTATATTCACTTTTAGTATTAAGAAGCCATTCATCTAGCCCACAACAAGTGAACGCCTCATCGAGCTTCGCGGTATCAAGGCTTCGCGGCTTCAAGAGGTAATATGGTGTATCCCCGTTGTGTAGAAGACCAATGAATATTGGGTGTAGAAACAGTAGATACAGATACATTCATAAAATGGATTTAATTGTGTATTCATGAATGGGAGAAAATCTTTCGAACATTCGTCCATCAGATTTGGATGTCTTGAAGATAGCAAAATAGCTTAAATGAGATCTAACATTCGAATGGAAGCCACCAGAATTTCTCACAACAATTCATGCAAAAAAGCTCAAAAAATTGGGCCAAAGCTGTGACGCCCACGACAATCCACTAGTCCCATCGTTCATATTATCAATGGGAATTCCAAGGATCCTAAAATGGAGGTACTGTACCGTATTTCTGGCCATATTTTGGGGGTATATCCCCTTACATAGGCCTTATATAGGCCTTATATATGGTAGGTACCTTATTACCCTCTGGTGGTTACAGTATGGTCATAATATGGTCATTTCACCATGAAACATCGGGGGATTGAACCATGGATTTTCCATGGGATTTTTCCATGGCTTTTAATGGAATTTAATGGGATTTACCCTATTGAAAATGGGATTTCCCAGTTTAATGGGATTTAATGGGTTTTAATGGGATTTAATGGGTTAACTAACAAAAAGCTATTGAAAATGACCATAGTAATAGAAATTTAGTGGATTTTCCCAGCTAGAAAATGGTGATTTCCCAGTTCGTGATTTGTTACCAAGTTTACCAGAGGGTAAACACCCCCATGCTTCATCGTCAATATCTGGAAATCACTGAACTAATATGGGAGGATGGGATTGCCAAAAACGAAACACGGGTTACGTGGGTTTCGTATTGCAGCTACGAAATTGAGGTCCCATGTTGCCATGTAAGAATCAGATGGGATTATCAATAATATACAGTGCCAGAGTTATAGCTGACTTAAAAAACTTGTTTTAAGCGATACTTTTCACCGTTGCAGGAGTAATCCATGTATAATTGCGGCCATAATTAGCTATAAATCCCATTAATTATCACATGAAATCCCAATTTTCCTATGGTTTTCCTATGGTTAAGGACCAGAAAACTCCCATATTAAACAGATGTCAAGTTGATCCTTCCAATCCTCGGGCCATCCATGGCCACTTCAAGAACCTAAATGGAACCGATTTATTGGAGGTAGCTACCATATATAAGGCCTATGTACCCACAAAATATAACTGGATAGAATATCCCTATATCACTTATATATACTTATATCACTTATAAATTGGAGGTATCATATATTCTTGGAGGTAGCTAAGGGATATAATCCCCTCAATGTGGTTTTATATTATACTAACCTTTGTTTCAAGGCTTCTGAATGTGACATCAATAACCCAAAAACATTCACAAAATGATTCCAGAGGCTCGCGACGGTCGCGGTGGTGATGTTGTTCTTTACCCAGAGTCGCCAGACGGTGACTAACGTGGCATGAGTTGTGGTGTCTACAGCACTTGAATTTGTTTTACTATATCCCATAGGATCCATGGTGCTGGTATATATGCTAACGTTTGGGGTATATTGATGGTAAATTTACTGTATTAGTGCTGGTTGGTGGTATACCTACCCCTCTGAAAAATATGATGGAGTTCGTCAATGGGAAGGATGACATCCCCAGCATATGATGGAAAATAATCCAAATGTTCCAAACCACCAACCAGAGTGTGTATTGTTCAAGCAGGAATATATGATGTCTCTATCTTTTTGGGAGGTCAATTGCTGTAACAATTATATCTCACCTGGCTTTTCTATCTAGTGATATCTCCAATTGTTGTGAGATCATGTCCGTACCTAGCTTGGCCATGCATGACTTTTCCTCAACGAAGAATTGCTGAACGTCAGTCACTAACCATTCCCCATGTAGCTTTGGCGCCTCATTTCAAATGGAAATTATAATTTAACAATATTTACCCTCTGGTTATTTAACATAGCCATGGAAGCCATGGCCCATTTATAGATGGTTTACCGTTCTTAAAAATGCTGATGTTCCATGGCAAACTGTTAGTCATAACCAGATGGTAACATAGAATTTCCCATGGAATTCATGGCCCATCTGTTTCTTGGTCCCATGTCTGTTCCCCCTTTTTTCATCGCATCCCGAGCAGGAAGGCTCCGAAGGCTCCAAACAACGAGAGGCTAAGGCCCAAAAGGACCTGACGAGAGGCGTGGCGGCTAGGCTCGTCGGGGCCGCCAGGGCCAGGGCCAGGGCCAGGTGTAGGTTGGTGTAATAAATAACCAGTACTTCTGTTGGACACATGAATATCCCAAAAATGTTAGACTAGATAGGTTTCCCTACTATGCGTTAGTTGATAATCACCCATATTTCCAGTTTGACTCCCTTTAAAAAACAAGTAATGTGGGTAAAACAGTGTCATAAACCATCCCCCAGTCATCACCATTTTGATAGGTGGTATAAACCATCCCCAAATGCGTGGTTTATGGCATTGTTTTCCCACAGTACTTCTGCTGGATACATCAATATGTCATGATATATCTATAAATTATACTTAGAGTTATGAAGCTTTTGGAACATAACTGGGCAGTAAAGAATATCAGCCAAATCATTTATGGATATTTATATACTGGATCGTGGTTTTAATATTAGTCAATGGGAAGGATGACATCCCATATATGATGGAAAATAATCCAAATGTTCCAAACCACCAACCATTATTATATCATGATATATCCAGTTTCATAGGATTTTCCACTATAAACCATCCATTTTGGGTACCCCATTTATGAAAACCCGCTATTGTTGGGCCGTAAAAGGGGATGATTTCCCAAATCCTCACCATACCCAAAGAACCGGCTTCGAACAGGCTTCGGCCGTGATGAAATTTACCCAGATATATATAATATTTATTTATATATATATATATATATGTAAATGATATGTATACATAATATATAACACATAGGATCCATGTATGCTATATATGGTAACATGGATCCCATCAATATACGCCAAATGTTTGCATATATACCAGCACCATGGATCCTATGGGATATGATATGTATACATAATATATCATGTATACATAAAATACCTCATTAAAAAAAAAGTGACTTGGCATCATGAGCATGATCCTGCTGTGGGTGCTTCACCCGGCGCAAAAGGCGCAAAAGTTCATAGCCCAAAGTTCGTAGACAAACTGGGCCTCTCTTTGGAACCAGTTTACCTACTTGGCAATAATCTCCTGAAATAGGAAAAATATGGAAACAAATTGAGGGTCGCTTTGGTAAAATGATGATTCGTATCTATCTATTGGATTTTTTTGGACATCAGTGGCCACTCGGATTTGTCTAAAAATAAGCCACGCAATCCTGTCGGATTGGAAGTGGTCCGTGATCAGTTTTGAAAAGAAAAACATTGGGGATGATTCGGGTATCATCTGGTTATGACTAACATAGCCATGGTTAATAGATGGCCCTAATCGAAATAGATGGTTTACCGTTCTTAAAAACGGGTGGATCTTTCCATGGCAAACTGTGAATGTCATAACCAGCTGGTAAATGAGGCGCCAAAGCGCCTCCTGGGGACTGGGGGCAGTGACTGATGTCGCTGATGTTCAGCAATTCGCATATCATTCCATCCCCATTTCAGGACACCAATGACACCAATGTCTGAGGGAAGGCCCAAAATCAGGATCAGACAGACGCGAGAACTGAGCAAATCTCAGTTCTACACACTGACCAGACCATTGGATCTGCCATCACCCTCCGGTCACAGTTAAAAAATGTCTGGAAATACCATGGGAAATAGCGATTTTCTTGGGAAAATCCTCTATGAATCGATGATTGTGGCAGGTAGATGGAGGATTTGGGAGGGCAGCCAGGTGACTGCCAAGGTGACTCAGGTGACTGGGCACAATTTTGTGCTGATTTCAGCAAGAATGGGAAGTGTGAACAGATTTTTTCACACACTATTTCTATTTCATGTCATTTCTATTTCTACCAGCTGCTACCATAGGATAAACTACCCTCTGGTAATTTGTTACAGTTCGCTGAAAATGGCCATAGACATAGTGGATTTTCCCAGCTAGAAAATGGTGATCTTCCAGTTCGTTATGTAAACGTTTACCAGAGGGTAACATAATCCAACAGTCATGTGTGGAATTTCCAGCACCATCAGCAGTTGACAAGTTGACCCTGGTGGGAAAGCAAAAAATCCTTCCCTTGGTCCCTTGGCCTGGTACGAGATTCTCTGACCTCAGGACCCAGCTGTGTCTTTCACTCGGATCTGGTAGATTCTGGTAGATAGGGATGGGTCAATTCACCTTTTTTTGCCCAGAAAAAACATGAAAAAACCTCAAAATCGTTGGGATATGTTGAGATTTATGGATTGTCATCCCCCAAACAGTAGTTGTAAGATGTTGTAAGTATTGTAAAATCCCCTGTAGAACAAAACATCAAAATCCTTCGGGATGGATGTGAAAACATGTGAATAACCCACGCTTCACCAGACCACCCCTGTATCGGATCTATTCCTTCTGGGGGACCATTGACGGGAGTATTGAACATTAGGGGAAGGAATATTCTCAGTAATAAACAAATTAATTGTTCCACGTGTATCCATTTGTATGTAACAGTATGTAACCTTCAAGAGTCACTCGTCTCTAGCGAAATTGGAGTGAAATTCTAGTAAAAAAAAGGCAGCCTCTGAAAACATCCAAGGTTTGCTCTACTTGGGGCTGCGGTTCCAGTTAGTGGATATCTAAGCATAGTTAGATAGGCCCCACCCGACCTAAGGAACTAGTAGGGTAAATTCCACAGCATATCCCCCATCAAAAGCCACCATGTATGTGGTATGTCCCCATTAAGCTTGGTGGTCTCCCCTATTTTTCTTATTTCCCACTAGGAATCATTGGTGACCTTCCATCACCGACGGCGAAAAGATCGCCTCCAAGGCGATTTTTTTCCAGTGTTCTGGCTATGCGTCAACTTAGCCACAAAAATCAGCAAATTAAAGGAGCGAATAACCCCA